AGATGATAAGAGAATTAAAGCTCGAACTTTATCATCGAATTCAATTTCCACGAAACTCAACTGAGTTGTGATTGTGTTGAGTTCATTTAGGTGTTGAGCCACTGATGCCCCTTCCACCATCCGCAAATTGAATAATCGCCTCATCAAGTGAATTTTTTTTAGGCCGATAACTTCTCATACATACTGGAGAGAGCTGCCATAAGACCCGCCGTGCTCTTTTCCTTTGCTATGTTGAAAGCAATATTGCGGGATAACGTCAGTCGGATAACTCCGAGGGCTTGTCTATCGAGAAGAGCCCAGTCTTCATTCTTCATGACCTCTGGTTGCTTTCCTGAGAGATGTTGATATAGATTTTTCTGGTACAAAAAATCTTCAATCTGTATCTTCCAAAAGTCAAAGTCCGCACCATCGAACTTTTCAATTTTCACCTTCCCTTCGTCTGCAGCCATCGCTCCCACTCAAATCTGGCTTCGTTTGGATCGTTTATGACAATTCTTGTGAACCACCGCGTATTAGAACACCTCCGTCGACAAATTCGCTTCGCCGATAAAATTTTTATTATTCACAAAATTCACTATTCACGTGAACAGTAATGAATAGTAACCTCGCAAAAAATTGACAAAATTTACAACCAAAAGCTCTGATTACCAGTTGTTGGGAAATAAAATGAGTACGAGTAATTTCCCTATTACCAGATTAGTGAGAATACGAAATAAAAGCGAAAAAATAATATCCGAAATTGATAACGAAGTTCAGCCAATTATGCCTACGTCTCCGGACTGCTGCAGATCTTTTACTAAGAGACAAAATTTACAAGTGTTTACAAAACACTCGCTACTCACAAGAAAATCTCTAGTATTGGGAGAAAAATGATTTTGAAGCTAAATGGGCTAGGGTATTTATAATTGAAGCTTAAGGACTAATCTTGTAAATACCCTAAAGTATGCAGTGGCTAAAATATAATTAACCCATTTCTAAAAAAATAAAAAATTGGGACACCGAATTCGATACCCTTTTTTGTTGAAAATCATCAGCCTGTGCGTTGTGCCTCCCCCTTTTTCCATTTTCGGTGGCCTCCCTTGACCTACCCTTTTGACTTTACAATATCACCCTTAGACATAGTAACCAGTGAAGGTAAAAATAAGACCCCTTCCCACTCTTTCGCCCGCACAGAACCATGCATGCAAAGCACTCCATTCCAAACAAAGCTGCGATACCAAAATCTTCAACCTTCAGTTCTTTCATGTTCTTCCATAAATTCTTCACATAATCAAGCTCCTTCTAGAATAACTCAGTACGACCAGGGATACTAGCAAGGCTGGTGTAACATAGCTGATTAGACAAGACAACTCGCTGCACTTTTCAACTGTTGGTGGCTCCTGAATGTATTGTTTTTTCTACTCCAACAACTGCTTGTAATAAGAAGTTCCATGCTTGGCTACAAGCTTCAACGCTTCAAGGTCTTAGATTAAAACTGCAGCAGCTTTGACGCCATCAAAATCTTTTATTAGGGTAAAGAAAGACATCGGTTTACGAAAAAGACGTGAGGGGATTCGTCTTGTTTCTCTCACCGCTTATCTTAGAAAAAAGAGAGAGAGAGACTGACAGAGCTTTCTGCGTGATCAGATGATGACTTTTTTTCTTCTGACATGTAAGGATTAAATTTCTTTTAACTAAGTCAAAATGAATTGCTGAGTCAAAAAAACTTAATTCTAAATTTTAATAAGTAGATTGAAATGATTTAAAATTTAGTGAATAAAATAAGAGAAAATAAAAGTTTCAGTGAGTATATTTGTTATTTACCCAATAAAATAAAAATAAATACCACGGGGCTACGATTGTATTGTATTGTATAATTTACTCAGTAACGAGTGATCAGAAGTTGTACCATTCCTTTCGGTTTTGTTGCCAAGGCATTTCAGAGAAAATAAATGAATAAACAAAAATTCACTGAAGATGTTGCTGTAGTTTGAAGAAATTCCCCAGATCTGGGATTGGCGAAAGCAACCGGAGAAGGATGAAAAGTTGATGGCGCTGATAATGTTAGGGGCGGTGCAATTGGGAGCAGCGGCGGCGTGCGTGGTGGTTTTAATCCCAATGGGAATGGCCGGTTGGCATTTGAGCCGAAACAAAATGCTCTTCTTCAGCGGTGCCCTTTTCATTTCTCTCGCCATTTTGAGTCCATTTGACTCCCTATTTCCCTTCGGTCCCCGATTTAGTCACCTCCGTTTCTTCCGTCGTCGTCTTCGATCACCGCACTTCCTGCATCAATTTGGTCAACGAAATTTCTTTGCAAGTCAACCCCAAAAACGCTTCTTCCCGACTTCACAACAACGCCACCCACGATCTCGATTTGTACGAGAAGCGCTGGGCTTGGTCCGATTCCCAGAAGCTAAAAGCTTGCGACTTTCAGAAATCGTCTAAACCCGATGCCTCCGATTTGGTAAACGGATCCTGGGTGGTCGTCGCGGGTGATTCCCAAGCTTGATTGTTCGCCCTCTCTTTGTTAAATCTGGTTCTGGGTTCCCAATCCCAACGTGTGGATTCGGTTAGAGCCAATTTGTTTAAGAGGCATAGTGATTACAGCGTTTTAGTGGATGAAATTTGTATGAAACTGGATTTCATTTGGCCGCCTTACTTTGTGAATTTGACCAATTTGATGACTGATTTCAATACCCGAAAGATTTGCCCTGATGTTATGGTCATGGGGGCTGGTCTTTGGGACATGCTTCACTTCAACAATGCATCAGATTATGAGTTCGCGTTGCGGATGTTGAAAACTAAAGTAGTTTCTTTGTTGCCATTGTCGACTGAGTTAGCCATGAATGAACCGGTGGCTGGTTCAGTCCCCATCAAGTCATCCTCCCATTTGTTTTGGCTCGGGACGCCGGTGCTGATCAATGGGATGTTGAATACAGAGGAGAAGAGGGAGAAGATGAGCGATTCAATGTGGCATGCTTATGATCGAGCACTTGGCGATAGTAAGCTGTTACGCCAAACCGGTGGCCATCTGCTTTTGTTGGATTCCCAGTCATTGACTTGGAATTGTGGACCTCATTGTACATCCGATGGTATGCATTACGATGGAGCTATCTACGAAGTTTCCGTTCAGATAATGCTAAATACATTGCTTATTGAATCTCATCAGAGGTTTTTATTATAACTATGATTTTACAGCAACCTTGAGAAAGAGAGAGGGGCTCGATCGCCCATCTATAATCTTTGGCTCTTCCCAGGTTTTCTCCCCTGCTTTGGATTAACACACAAGTAAGCTTTCTGTATGGCAAAATTCTTTTTCTTTCATATGTTTGAAAACCAAATACTCATTTGTTTATATTACTGTATATTGATTATTACACTTTGTATGATTCACATCTAATTTTGTTTTGACCAAATTTGATGGTTGTTCATTATTGGATACATCTTTTCTTCTTTTTTTGCAATGTGTAGAATAAGCAGCAATTGAGTAGATCGAAATCGAGTATATAGTGTGTATACTGTATACGTTTGTTTAAAGAAGGATTGGTGGAGAGTGTTTTAAGTACCTAGGGGCAGTATAATTAAGAAAGGTAGAGAGATTGCTGGATATGTTAACTGTAGGATTAACAAGTGTGGCTTGAGTGGAGAATTGTGATAGAGAGTTTTGTGTAATTGAAATATACCTATATGTGTTTGAAGGGAAAGAGGTTGAGGAAAGTTCCAAGAGACCTGCTTCGATATATGGTGCGGAATGTTGGGTAACAAGAAGCCACATACAGTCATATAATTGGAAATGAGGATATGCATCTCAAAGTGGTTTGGCAACGTAAGACACGGATCGAGGGATGCATCCGTTAGAAGGATGGAGTAAATTGACATTACACAAGGTGAAAGGTTTAAGGGGAGGACTAACGGACATGATTAAAGGTAATAAACAATTTTATGAAGCTGTTAGAATCTGAAAAGTGGATGGCGGTGGATAAGAATGATCGGAGTAGAAGCATTCACATTCATGATGTTTAAATTTGTCTTGAATTTTTTCTATTTTATGACATGGGTTTTGTAAATTGAATTTTCTTATTTGTATGAAATTTTTAGAAGGAATGCTAATGAACATGAATGGTGTGTATTATGGTTAGTGTTTCTACAGATACTGCTTGAATGCCCTTATGTTTTAGTTCCGCAGACATGTATTGCATATGACATGCTAGCGGTGATTTGTGCTGTAATAAATGCTTGGACTTGTTAGGATTTAGTAATTCCCATTCTCTGGAACATCCAAAATAGAAAAAAGGAATTGCAGTTGGAATGCCATTTTATGTTTGGAAATTTCCTATGTAAAATCTCTAGTAGTTATTAGAATCGAGTGCCGGAAATGGTAGGTATGAGCATTCATAAAATGAGAATTTGAGATGAAATATTTGGTATCTTTTATGTCCGTTTTATAATCCACATTCTGGGATTTGAGATTAATTTGTACGCTGGATGAAGTCCTTTCTATTCAATTTAGTAACCTATCAGTTCAACCAGTTTCTTTTAACATGATCCAAAGCTTATTTTTTCGTTAGTATGACGTAATTACAAGTTAATATATATTCAGAATATTTGTTAGCCATTGATACACACCTGCAGATAACTAGTAGTCATTTACAACGTATACACACCTCTTGTAGATAACTGTTTGAATCCGATCCTCCAAAGAAAACGAACTTCTTTTTCTACAACTAACCCTAAAAGTGTAAACAAATCGAAGTCAAACTTTGGGTTGTAAATTAACATTGTGAATAATTCGATATTTGTTCATTTATGTTGGTTTTTCAAGCTAAGAACATAAACAATTTGAGGCTCCTTTATTAAATGAACTGATGCATGTTTAGTTCATGAACGAGTTTATTATTAAATCAACTGGAAACGGTAAATGCATGTTTAATTCGTGAACAAGTTAAAACTTGTTTAAGATACGATATAATGTTGAAGAACAAAATTGATGAAATTAAATTAATAAGCACACATAATATGTAAATGGAAAAATTGATCTCTCCTGCTAGTTTAAGTCGTAACACACAATGACAAACCTCATCACTTGAACCTCCATTTCCATTCAGTGCAAAGCAACAGATAACAGAAAGAAAAGAAGAGCAGAGAACAGTGTTGTGTATATATATAATAATAATAAGAAGAAGAAGAAGAAGAAGAAGAAGAAGAAACATTGCACTACATTGGGTGCTTAATCTTTAGGACTCTAATTGTTTTCCTTCGAAGGTTTGGCCGAAGTTCCAATTCTTGGGAGCAACATTGTAGGACGTAAGTGTAAGGCCGTCACTACTGGTGACCTCAAACGAGAGTGGTTGATTCCTGAGATCGGAATTGATATGCCAGTTCTGTCCCCAATTCCGACCCATCTGCAACCACCCCGTTCTCGAGCCCTTTATCTTTACTGCCACTATGTCCCCCGCACCTGCTACGTTGCTTATGAGCACCGACACGAAGATGCCCGAACCATCTACCGTAAATCGAACGCCTCCTTCCTTCCTGCACTTGACCCTGTTTTAAACCCAACCAACACATGTTTTAAGACTGTTGTTTACACCACTAAAGACCGAAAACCCAACATGAAACTACAATGCAATACACCATCTCTAACAGTAGATTGTACGGTTCCCAGATTTGGGTTTGTCTAAACCGTGATCTGGTGATGTTAATTGAAATCAAAATACTTTAAATGAAATGTGGGAAGAGTTTGTTATGTTACCTTCGGTACTGAACAGGCATGTTGCCAGCTTTCCAAATGGCTATCTTTTCAAAAGATTCAATGGGAAGCACAAAGTGTTTGTTGGGGGGATTACAACGGCCACCGCCCTCCGCCGAGAACCCGTAGTTGGGAGCACAGAAATTGGTGGCGGTGACAATGATAGAGGTCCCGGGTATGCACCACCGCAGGTCATCAACGCATCTCAACTCGAAGCACGCGCCGCAGATCTGTCCACGCTGAAATAAAGCCTCGCTTAAACCTGCAGTGGCCATGCCGTAACCAGCCTTGACGAGGTCCCCATACCCGCAGGCACCACTCACGGCGCCCTGAGGATCCGAAGCTGCGTAGTAAGTGGCGCGTGCAGGATGCCAGAGGGAGGACTGCGACGGCGGAGGTGTGGAAGAAGAGGAGGAGTAATGGGAAGTGACGGTGGAGAGGAGTGTAATGAGAAGGAGCGAGAGGAGAGGAGCTGCTTCAGTTAAAGACATTTCTGGAGAGACAGAGACAGTAAAGAGGAAAGTTGAAAGAAGCAACAACAACAACAACAACAACAACAACAACAACAACAACAAAACCCAATTCCCATATGTATGGGGAAAAGTTGAAAGAAGCATAAAACGTTAATTAGTTTGGTTTAGTGGTCCGAATGAAAATATGTAAAAGTACTGGGAACCTGCAAAGCAAATTATAAATAATTACTTTCGACTCTTCTTTTCTTGTTTTGGGCCCCTCTTTTTTTATTTATTCAAAAAGCACAAGGGGGGTTGTGCATAATCCAGTATCATTCACCACTCAAAAATCGAATTTTGTTTTACTATTAAATCACTCAATTTTATTACTTGTAATTTCAAATATAGGTTTGAGCCTGATTGCTGAGTTTCATCGCTTGCTAAACGTACTTCTTTTTTACGTGTTAAAGTTTCAAAAACAAGCATATATTCCATGATATTAATCAACTAAAATCAAAACAATGAAAGATGAAGTATTGTTAGAAAAAAGAAAGGGTAAACTACGTATTTAGTACTTGAACTATCAGTTCTTGTCTATTTTAGTACCTAAACTTTTAATTTTTTTTAAAATCATACATAAAGTTTAGCTTTTATTTCATTTTTAGTACCCCTATTCAAAATTTAACATGAAATTTTGAAGAAAAAAAGTGAACATTTAAGTACTAAAATAGACTAAAATTGATCGTTTAGGTACTAAACTTGTTAAATTTTTAACAGTTGGGTATTAAAATGAAACAAAAACTAAATATTATGTATGCTTTTGAAAAAATTGAAAGTTTAAATATTAAAACGAATAAAAACTGATAATTTAGATACTAATTACGTAGTTTACCAAAAAAAATGCCAGATTCCTGAACAGAAGATTATAAAATGCTTGACCATATCTCTGTATAGCATGGGCGGATGCACTAAGTCCAGATGGAGTAAGTGCATCCTATTATTTAGAAGAAAAAAAAGTGAAATTTAGTTTAATAAATTAAGGAAAAATGAAAAAAATAAAAACTTTATATACTCGTTATTTTTAAGAAAAAGAATTAAAATTTTAGACTCACATTTTTAAATTTATGGATCCGCCACTGCTGTAAAGTTTGTTTATGATCTTTGCCGTTTCTGTTCCGGTCAGTAGTCTCTGTGCCGCTATCCATCCATCTGAACTGGTCCTTGAGAAGGTTCTTGTGTATAAGTGCAAGCATATTTTTCTAAAGCTCCTGCAATCTCCTGGTATGTGCTTGTTTTGTTATAATGAAATCTGTGGCATTCATTGCAATTGTATCAACCAAGCCATGAAAAGTGATGCTTTGGACCCAACCTCCTTCCACTTGATGTCTGAGTCTTCTCTAAAGCATGCGCAATAGGCATTAGAAATTTGCATTCTCCAAATTCAGCTATATAAACTCAGAAATATTTACATATATGTATCTAAAACACACACCAGCTCGGTTTATCCCCAGTTTGCTAGCTACTAGAGAGTAAAAATTATCCTCATATGCTTTGTATGTTTTAATCGATAACTTGAGTGATTAAATTAAGAATTATTCAAAAGTTTAATGATCAAATTAAATATTTTAGAATTTTTACAACCAATATAAGAGGGGAAACAAAGTTGAATGATGATTTGTGTAATTTACTCAGAAAAAAATATCACCAGGTATGACCGAAGAATTTACATTCCATTCTTTCTTTTCTTCTGTCATACTCCGTGAAGTACAATAATTTTCGCCTCTTATTTTTTATTTTTCTTAAACATATTAAACTAATATATTTTTTCATTTCTTCGGTCATACTTCGTGCAGAAAATTTCACACATTTTTCCAAATAATAGGGATGCACTAAGCTCCACTCTACTTATCTTCAAAATGAAGTATAAAAATGAAGTATAATAATACTTGGTGAAATTTAGTTTAAATAGCATGGGCGCATGCACTAAGCTCCACTTCTAGATTTCGCCTGCAGAATATTGGCCATTTGTCCAGATACAATGAGATTTACATTTCTCTATATCCAATCGCATTTGATTTTAAGTGCAAAAATCAAAACATTGTTTCACTACCATTTGTTACATTAAATTCATTGGTCACTGAGACTCAAAATCCAGGAACTCTCCTTTTGCCTGGCTGCCGTAGCCATACATATCAAACATCCTATCATCGGACGACATGTTTACGCCTTCTCGTCCCCTGAATGCCTCCATCGGCAAAGCCCAAATAGGAGTTGAGGGGTTGGAGCTTGAACCTTCTTGATTCAAACCCAACACGCTAGGGTTCTGAGGTGAATTTCCACCAGGTCTTCTGCCGGAGGAATTGGACGTCGGAAATATAGTTGTTGACTGTTGCTGTTGCATCTGCTGCTGGTTCTTGATTGGCGACTTGGGACGCAATGCCTCTATATCTGGGGTTGTCTTCACTAAATGAGGTGCATCTGGTGGCGGATTTCGTCCTCCCCCACCTTGTCACACTTTCCCATCCTTGTCAGCAAAGTTTCTATTATATGCCTGAAGATACTAATTTTTTATCTATTTGTTTGTTTTTTTATTATTACTTTATACCATTTTATTTATATTTATATTATTATTATTTTATTTCTTATTTTATTATTATTAATATTATTAGTACTATTATTGCAGACCCAAACCGGAACCTAATTATAAATGGGTACCCAGAAACCCAAAACTCAACCCAGTTATATAACCCTAAACCCAACTAGGGTTTCAGCATCATCACCCAGCCGCCGCTCCTTTTCCACCGTTGGATCTGGCTTGATCCAACGGCCCATAGCCTTCCAGATGAAACCCTAGGGTTATGATACTCTAGGGACACGCGGCCGCCGCCTTTGTTGCCGCTGATCTACGCCGCTCCACACACTGCCACGACGCCAACCGAGATCCTCCAGAAGACTCAAAGCCAGCTGTCCACGTTAAAGGCCACTGTGAGTCACCACTAAAGTTTGGTGACTCATCAAACTGCCACCCTTTTACCCGGTTCGAGACGAGCGCCAGTGATGGTTATAAAACCATAAACCGAACCTACAAGAAAAAAACAGGGGAGCAACCAAAAAACAACAAGCAAAACCACAGAAAGGAAACAAGTCAGAAAATAACCCAACAACCAAACCATCAAAATACCAAAAGAAAAAAAATAGAGAAAGCCTTATCGAGGAAGCAGAACCACCACCAGAGACTCCACTTACCTTCACGAGCCACCACAAAAACAGAAATACCAAAGGTATTTCTTTAAGATCTGCGAAAATTCATGGATTTTTAGGATAAATGAGGGTTAGGTTTAGGTTTAGATCGTCCCGATCTATCATTTGGGAAAATTTCATGTTTTCCGGCCACCGGCGACGGTGGCCGACGGTGGAGTTGGGGGCGACGTGTGGCTGCCGGCCGATGTCTGGTTTCCCTCCGGTGAGGGAAACCTAGAGAGAGGCGAGAGAGTTTTTTTTCTCTCAGTTTAGAGAGAGAACAAGAAAGAGAGAAATGAAAATTTTAGCCTAAAGACCGAGTATATTAGGGTATTTATACCCTCCCTTAAACGACGTCGTTTAAGGGAGGGACCTCTGCGTAATTAAGTTAATGTAAAACCATGTCCGCAATACCTTATAATTTGTAATCCTTTCATTTTAGTCACTGAAATACACTTCTGAGCATATTAATTTTGCTTTCAAGTTTCACTTTATTATATTTTAGTCATTATCTATATATATTTATATATTTAGGATAAATATCACATTTAGTCCCTCAAATTTTGGTAACATTTATTTTAATCCCGAAATAATTAATTAAGGCTAAATTCAAATTAGGTCTGTGATTTTTATTATTTTACATTTAAATTATATTGTTTTAATTATGATTATTATAGTCACTAAATTAATAATGAGGTAAAATAACATGTTTAGCCCCTATAATTTTAAATGATTAATCACTAATTAGGGTACTTAAGTTTTATAAGTTATAATTTAATCACTACTTTCATTTAATTACAAGTTTTATTACTATTTATATTTCAATATTATAGTTTTGATTTTATTTGCTTTAGTTATTGTTTAAATATATTTTAATGTTTATTTTCAATTATTATTATTTAGTCATATACATATCTATATATAATAAATAATATTTATTTATTTATCTTATTTGTTTTCTATTAAAATTATATTTATAAATTTAATTTTACAAAATATATTTAAAAATAATCATATTTTAAATATATATTTATTTTTCAATATTAAGAAAGGCCAGTCTTAAAGAAGTTGAATGTCCATTTTTCTGATATTTTTAAATAAATATTTTACTTTTATAAATTATATATATTAATATATTTTTGAGCCCGTAACGGAAAAACAGGCACAAGAATTTTTGAAATTTCTGAAACATAGCGAATATAGTGTGGTTGAACAACTACATAAAAAGCAAGCACGAATTTCAATTCTTGATTTGTTGATGAATTTAGAAGTACACAGAAATGCCTTGATGAAAATGCTTAATCAGACATTTATCCCATAAGATATATCTCTCAACAAGCTTGACAGGATCGTGGGGCACATAGTTGCTGATAATTATATAACGTTCACTGATGATGAAATACCTGAAGGTGGAATGGGATCAGTGAAAGCTTTGAATATTACCACACATTGGCATGGCCATGTTTTGTCAGGAGTATTGATTGACAATGGGTCTGCTTTTAACTTGATGCCTCTGGTCACATTTCAAAGGATGCCGGTGGATAAATCGCACATGAAGAGTTATCAGAATATAGTGTGAGCTTTTGATGGCACTCAAAAGGAGGTGCTAAGAAAAATGGAAATACCACTGTTAATAGGACCAATATTGTACAATGTTGACTTCGTGGTAATGGATATCCACCCTACATATAATTGTTTATTAGGGCGGCCAAGGATTCATTTTGCAGGAGTTGTTCCTCCTTCGCTGCATTAGAAACTGAAATTCGTTGTCAACGGTCAACTGATATGTGTAGAAGCTGAGGAAGAAATCATTGCTTCTGTGACAAGTGATGCTCTGTA